GCAAACCGAGTTCCATCACTGCAACAAGGTTCTGAACAACAAGGGGCACCCTTCGGGCCACCAACCTTCCATGTATTCCACAGATGTTCTCCCTTATATATTACGTAGGGTGGCAAAAGCACACCACTTGCCGAGCGACACATCATCACTGTAATTGACGATTTCGAATAGTTGATAACCCGTTCTGGATATTTGACCCCTCTTTTAAACAAAGCTTTAACTTTTCCGGAGTCATCAGAAACATATTTTAACATGTTTTGAGGCTCCACATTTAGCAGCGTTTCTTGTAGATTGTTAAAATAATCCTAAATAGTTTCCCTGGTAACCGCAGCTCTTGCCTTCTTTATGTTAGCAGCCCATCTTTGACCCAGTTCGTTATTGTGTCGTTTTAAAAATAATTTCACCCAATCATCACTAGGTGTATTGTTGACGAAACGTGGCTGCTGAATCCCTCTGCTATTTAAATAGTTTTTAACAAGGATCTCGCTCACCTAGAGGGAAGCCCCAATCAGAGCACTTTTGAATGCCTTTGACAAATGCTTCCTCTTCTTCTGTACTGAAAACGGGTTTTCCTCCAGGTTTTAGGACATGTCTTCTATGAAATTTATTGCTCAGGGTACCATAGGGTATTTTAAATTCCCACGAAGCTCTCCTCATGATTAACCTTCCATCGGCAACCGCTGTTAATGCCTGTTCAACTTTATCATCATTGTAGTTGCGATAATGCCTGGCCTAATTTTCGTTTGTTCAGTGATCAATGACACCCCGAAGTAAAAAATTCTAACCTACACAAACGTAATTTGAGAAAAAAATGTTTTCTTCACAAACATCTGTTTCTTAAACACGAATTAACAGAATAATTATTGTATATATACAATAAATTGACAATTAAAGACTTGGTATTTACATTTTTGTGACTGTAATAATAACACGACTATTTTCTACAAAACGTATTTGAACTTAATCACGTACTGTGTAAGAACACAACTGAATATAGTTCGCGAAATGGCGGGATAGGGCTCTACACAGTGTTACCACCGTACCCTCACCAAAAATTGAGGGTCGACTAAGAAATAAACGCTAGAAAGCTACAAATCTGAAAAATTCATGTTTTGATCAATGACACCCCTTATGTTCAAAGTCACCCCGGTTTACGGTACACTAAGCCTTTAGCTTCGATACAGATGGGCTTTGAAACTCACCCTAATTAAGAAAGACATTTATGCACATTCCAAAAATCTCCATACCCACTAATATCTAAAACAAAAATAAAGGTACAGTGTGTATCTTAAAATTAAAAATTAACACGAGTCATAACTTTTTAAATTCTTACATTTTTCTTGCAATGAAAGATAAAAATTTCAATAAAAATAGAAAACATCTTATTAACGATCTTAATAGGTGAATTAAGCAAAAATTAAGAAGTTGATCTATCATATTAGTTTTTGAACATATTTGGGTATTATTTGATAAATATAATAATGAATATCACCCAAAAATTGAACAATAACTTTTTGAGCACAAATTATTCGCCTTTTTTTATCATGGTCTTTATAAGTAAAACTATGATGAAGTTTTATCTCCGGTTCTACAATACCTGTTTGTAAATTGGCTTTACACATTTCGCTCACAACTCCTTTCATTTTTTTGACTACAAATGTTTAAAATGTAGATCCATTTTTCTCTAAGAGTAATAATAGCAGAAGAAATATAAAATTTCTTGTTAGTTTTGTGAGAAAAATATTTACTTCTGCAATTAAAATTTAAATGAATCAGAAATTAATGACAATCTTAAGAAACTCCCTATAGTTAAATTAGTTAAATCTAAGTTACACTAAATTAATACAATTTACTCACCCATATTTGAAAAAAATATCACCTGCATTTGAAAATGAAAATATTATCAGGCTGACATATTTATGGCAACATAACCTAATTTATTTTTAAAGCCAGATTTACACCATTTCATAATATTTAAATTTAGCTTTAACTTTACATTTATTAACGATTATCCCTGTATTTGATCACGCATTATATTAAAGTGAAATTTAAATGGGTAAATCAGTAAAATTATTGATTTCTTTGTCATTATTTTTGAAAACATATTTTTTTATGGGTGGAAAACGGGGTTGAATTTAGTGACAGCAGCGCGCCATTTATTCAAACCTTCTCTTTTTATTTTTCTATGACTGACCATGTGGAGAAAAATTAAGCAATCAAGTCTGTTGCTACAGGAGTGCTCTTTAAAGATAAAACTAAATCAATTTTGAGTATAAAAATAATAAATTAAGGCAGAGCTATCACCAAATATGTATTTTATTTATCTTAAAACATAAACTACTATGGTGGTTACATGCCAATTTTTTTTCGATCACATAGGGTAATTCCGGGAGAGATGTCGATTTTCCATATCGACTTCGATTAGTGCTTCCAAATTAACATGATATTCTCAAAAAATACAAAATACAAAATACTGCGGGAGAGATGTCATCGGGTTAAGGTAGAGATGCCACTACACTACACGCCTCATAACAATCACTTTAACACAACTCTCGCACGTATTTTGTTACTTGGTACATCCCTCATGCACCCACTGCTGGCAATAAAGGCATTGAATCCAATCGTCATCTTTGGTTGTTTTCGTATACTTTTCGCCACATCCAGCGCAGATTGCGTTATCATGATTTTCTAAATCTGAACTGCTATCATGAAGAGAGACAAGCTTAAATCTTCGTCACTGGACTATTCTACCTGCAGTTTTAGGGTTTTCTGTTTTCCTTTTGGTACCGTCTTCCTAGTAAATTTCCCCTTCTTAGATACCACAGATGTTTCAGCTGGATTTGGGCCACGTTTCTTTTTATTGAGCTTCCCTTGCTTGTGCTCCTGAATGCTTTTACGCCTTTCTATAGCTTCTGCATTATTTAAAATCTCTGCGAGCTTCCCTCATTTTCTTTTAACGTCCAGCACAGCAGCAGCTGGAACAGGAGATACAATGTTTAAAGCTTTTCCAGGCGTAATTTTTGGAGAAGCAGATGTTTGGGTTTGGATTATAGGCTTCTCAGCTAAATCGGCAGCACGTGAAGTTGATGGTTATGGTGAGGCCTTTCGTTTCTCCTCGCACGGCATTTTCGGAGATGTTTCTTATATTCCCACATCGTTACCTCCATAGGCGTAGTCCTGGATACTTTGCGGATTAAACGGGTGAATTCCAGCTGCCTTAAAACCCGATGTTGCATTTTGAACACTTGCACTCTTTCCCCAAGCAACACCTAATAGTCGTCCGAACTGTAGCCTTCCAATTTTTCTATCAGCATTGGATTTAACCCAAGTATCCCAAGCTTGATAAAATGCTGCCTTCAACGACTTGAAAAAGGATCTATCGAGAGGTTGTAGGTAGTGGGTGGTATGTGGGGGAAGGCAAAGAAGGATGATGTCATTTTCATCAGCGTATGTCAGAGCTTCTACTGAGCTGCAGTGGGATCCGTGGCCATCAAGAATTAGGAGAACCTTTTCCGCAGTTTTCCGTGGGACGAAATGAAACTTGAGCCATTCAAGAAAAATATTTGTGTTGATGTAGGCCGACTTTTGGTTCATGTACACAAAAGATCCGGGTGGCATTCCATCCTCGAATTCGGTTTTCTTATTTTTGCCTTTGAAAATGCACGCAGGCGGCAAGAAAGTGCCTTCCGCGTTGCAACAGCTTATAACTGTTATTGTTTCGCCCCGTTCCGCAGCCGTCAAAGTATTTACAACTTTAGATCCTTTTTTTTTTCAATTACTTCGCCTGGGCGGTTGTTTAGCTGGAGTCCCGTCTCGTCCATGTTGTAAACACAAGCGGGTTTGTCAAAAAATTGGTGTTCCTCCATTGTCGAAGCTAGCAGTCCAAAATATTTTGTAACTACATTTTTAGCCATGCTGAAGCTTCTACTGCGGGACAAGGCTTCAGCTTTTCTTAATGGCCAGTTCTGGATGTCTGCGTAAAAAGGACGTAAGCCAGTCGTAACCTGCGAGTCGTATTTTCAACTGCTCGGCCAGGTAAAAAGCATGCGCCTAACTTCAGTTCTCATTGGTGTAAATCCTCTGCTTGCAGTTTATTTATGTGAATAACCATTTTCATTTCAGCTTCTTCACCAAGTAAACTATCAGGTCCTATTCGTCCTTTTTGGAATTTCCGGATAAAACTCTACGTTTTAAAGTTCTTGGCGGAATGCTAAACACCCTAGAAGCTTCATTTACATCCATTTCTTCTGCTACGCTTCTTATAGCCGCTTGCAAACTTTCTTCGCTCCATCTGCCCCCATTGGGACACTTTCTTTCGTATTTTTTTGGCATTTCTGCAAATAAATGGTTTTAAATTAGCAAGGCATCTCGCCCATACGTAAATCGACATCTATCCCGATTTTACAGGAGAGATGCCGACAGCCGTATCACAATTGAAATTAATACAAATAGTGCGCAAGTATGAAAACGTATAACCTCTTTACATTCTCTTTCACCATGAGTATTCAAAATTCTCGCCAGGGCAATAGTAAGGTAAATAAGGTGTACTTACTTTATGCTCCGAAAAACTTTCCACTGCACCAAAATGACCAATATTAGGCTTAATCGGAATGCTTCAAGATTGTGCAAAAGCCACAACCGGTTGTGACAAGCGTTGGTACGTGACTGTTGTAGATCCCTGCTTCGGCCTCACAGGCGAGTACAGTCGAGATATAAGTAATCGGCATCTCTCCCATACCGGCATCTCTACTGGAATTACCCTAAAATATTTATTTTAACCTTGCATTTATAGTACCAATAAAGATATTGTAAAGTAAATAAATAATGAAGAAAAAACAAACAAAAGCTACAACTTAATGAAAAGAAGAACCAAGTACGATTAAAATGACAAGAATCACCCTTTTAAGAAAATTTACTCTTAATTATTATTTTCCATCGCGCACATATATTAAAACATAAACAGCAACAAAAAAATTAAACATTGTCATGACATTTTTCAGGTGCAATTTTTGATGAATCTAACTCCAATCAAGAACGAGCTCTAAAAGAAGCTGTAAGAGAAATTAATGAATTCGATGAAGATATAAACTTAAGTCTCCTAATAAAACGAATTCCAAGGGATAATCCGTATGAAGCCACCAAGGCAACTTGCGACCTTCTAGAAGATGGGATTGTCGGAATTTTTGGGCCTTTTTCAGAAGACAACTCCAATACCGTACAATCTATCTGTGATTTGAAAGAAATTCCTCATATAGAGGTATGTATCAACTTGAATGCAATTAAATTAAAAAAAAAAATTATAAGTTTAGAACTATACAGTCCGTTTCCGCTGTTACATATACTGTGTGAACCAATAAAATGGAATACTTAAATAATATTCGCAGTATACAGAATGTTGCATGACGTACTGTTCAAAATTAAATATATTCCCAAGCTTATTTCAAACAAAAAGTATCCTAGAAACAAATATCCAATTCTCCATGATTAATAATAATAATAATAATAATAATAATAATACTCTCCCTAATTCACCCCCTTACGAGTGAATTTTAACCCCAAAAGCTGAGCTTGTCCGGGGAAAGGGACGGTTATTATTATTATTTGCCGTGGCGCTCCGGGGCGACTTAAAGATGATTGATGGTGCCATTTGACTTACAGGTGAGGAAAACCCGGAAAACCTCACCCACCATCATCGAGACGGTAATGTATGGCGAATTTTTTTAATCTGCATGTCATATCAACAGAGATTGAATTTCTATTAATACGCCACACATCAAATCCTAAACCGAACCATGCAATTTAATTAAAAATCCACATGGTCTGGTCTGGGATTCGAAACCCAGCAGTCTCAGACTCATAAACTTGCCTATAAATGAATATAAGCGCGATAGACCGCTACACCACCGTGCCCGAGCTACAAGCGTTCATAGAAAGATAAATTAACGTAGAATGATATATTTTCAAATTTTTTGGTTGTTTTTATTTATCAACAATTGTCACTTGACTAGTAAGTTCTATAGTTGTCTGTGATATTTTTGAATGAAGAATATAAGTGTATATTTCTCAACGTTTGTAGCTTGGTACCCATGCAGAATTGAATATTTGTTCATATAATATTTTTTGCTGAAAATTAATTTAGGAATATGTTATTTTAATTTATACAGTACCTACGTCATATGAAGTTTACACAAAAAAGCTTGGATACCTCATGCGACTCTTTTTTTTTAAGGAAGTGTCTAGTTATTTTATGAAATCTTGATAGACACTGAATTTCTAAAATTGATAATATGCAAATATATGACTTTGCTAATATATTTTTTTGAATAATGTGAAATATCTTATAATGTATTTAGAGGTTCGGTTGAATAAAAACACTTATTTGTATGTTACTATTTATTTCGAATAGGAACGTACATTTTAAATCCCTGGTACAAGTGGTACAATGGCAGGACGAAACCGTTACAAAATGTGTAAGATGGACTGCGCGCGCCACCACTTGATGTCGCAGGATTGGAACTGCGTTGTATACCCAGTGATACCAACTTAGTTGGACTGTTAAGCCCTGGTTATACTACACTTTTTGCTCCTTAAATGTAAACTTACCGAACAGTTATAATACAACTTTAAATTCAAACATATTTAACATTTTTTAAATTACGAATATTCCGCCTAGGTGTACACACACATTAATTACCTCAATATCGTTAGCAGAAATATCTAGCATTTCGTGACTTACATTGCTACTGTTAACAAAAGTACTATTAGTTGAACATCCTGCATTTGCGATATTTACTTCTGTGGCTGTTGTTATCAACATAAATTACCTCATCTCTTAGTTCAAACCAGCTCAAATCTATAATTTGATTAATATGTCTTTTCCAGATTTTGTCCAGTGACGGAATATAAACCAAATAACTTCTAGGTCCTAGTTTATTTTTAATAACTGCTTTAACCCAATTTCGCTTATTTACTAACCTATATTCTCTTACAGCTACATTTTCAATAACACGATATATTCTGTTTCATTTTCACATGTAAAATTTAATCTGCGCTTTTTGTTTCTTTTCAACATTTATCTTAATCTCCTCTAGTATATCACTATTCTTAAAACTAATATTTACATGAATATTTAAAAGTCGGATATTCCTATTAAACATCATATTGGCAGGTGGAACTCCCGTAGTTCAGTGAGGAACTAAACCTGTATGACAATAAAAAATTATTTAAATAAAAATTTATTTTGTTTACCGTGCTCTATTTGACAGATTTGAGTAAAGCATGTTTTATACTCTTAACAGAATTCTCTGCTTGTCCATTGCTAGCTTGATGAAAAACTCTATATTATTTTTTGACAAAAACGTTTAAAATTCATTTGACTTAAAATTAGAGGCATTGCTGAAACTAATTTAAAAGGTAATCTGAATCTAGCAAAAATTTCTGGTAACACCATAATGGTAGTGACTGACTTGGTGTTGACTGTAATTATAGCTTTCAACTACTTACTATGGGCATCTAATATAACTAAATTATATTTCTGAAATATTGGCCCCAAATAGTTTATAAAAATCCGCTGACATGGCCTTTCTGGATATTCCAAAGTCATTAGCGGTGTTTTAACCTAGATTTTCATGCAAGTGCCACATGCTTTAATCAAATTCTCCATTTCCAAATTCAATTGAGGCATATGATCCGGCCAAACTTTTTGTCTTTACCATACCCAAATGCGTGGAATAAAGTTGTTTTAGAAATCTCATTCTTAGTACAAAAGGGAGTAAGACTTTATGGCCCAGCATCAAACAACAACACCTACAAAACTAAATTGGTTTTTAAACTGTTGATACGGTTTTAATTCTAGTTTAATTTCATTGGGCCAACCCAGTTTTACATTTGATATGACTTTACTTAAAATAGGGTATCTAGTAGTCTCTGTTTCATCTTCTTTCCTCAATGCACCTAAAACTTTTTTTGTTTGGATTTGCTGTATTTTTTTTAGAATTTTAGGTAAAACTGTCCTTTAAAATAACGAAGGGTTGGATTTGATGTCAATCCTAGTACATTGGCTTGGCTAATGTCAAATTCTCGCGCCAAATCATTTGCGATTGCCAAAAGTGCTAGAGAATCTTGAGAAATTCTGTTTCTCAAATAATGTTTAATTATTTTTAATTTAGATAAAGACATTTCATTACTTGCGACGCTTACGGGTAAAGTCAAATACATTATCAGAGCTTTAATTGTATTAGAAAAGCTAGATACGTATGTAGGATTATCAACTAACAAATATTTTAAAAATTTAGTTATGCTCTCAATATTCTGAAGGTCTTTACATAATAATTTATTATTTCTTATGGCAACTAGTTCAAGACCTAAGGATTCAGTTTTATTAAAATCACTTTTATAAAATATCTGCAGCTCATCGCCTTTTTTGACAACAATTTCTGGCGCTAATTTAAAAAGCATAGATGGGTTAAGGAAACCAAATTTTTCATTTACATGGCAAAATGATTCAAAACAATTCTTTATTTGAACGTTTATAATATCCAATGTTGCCAAGAATATATTTATTTTAAACCTATGTTTGAAATCCGAAAATCTATAATGAGAACTAAGTTCGTCAAAAAAATCAATAGGAAAGGTATTATTAACATTAAAGAGGGGAACCAAATTATTTTCTTCAACTTCTGAAACCACTATCATCAAACCTGCTGTGTCTGCCTCACTATCGATATCTGGTTGAGTAGTAGTGGTATCTACAGTGCCTATGCTCATGGGATATGTTTTCTATGAAATTTTCATTAAGTTGTTCTTGGGATAATTGTAAATGAATATTAACATGGACACTCGCGCCGCTCGTAGAGAGCGTTTGATTATCTACAACGTTTAAGATCGTTGCACTGTCCAACCGGTCGGCCGAGGGCCCCCAATACTAGCAGGCCCCCCCCGCGCCGTGGGGGCTAGCGGGGGTGTAGCTACGCCACTGGCATGGGACATGAATTCAGATCATTCGCTCATTCCTCTTACTCCTAGTAATACCATTATCCAAAAGGAAAGCGCTCCTAGACTAATAAATAGGAGAACAGACTGGCAAAGCTTCAGACTGGACCTTGAAAATAAAATCAATCTTTCGGTTCCGTTAGGAACAAAAGTACAGCTAGATGAAGAAGTAAAACTACTTGTGTCTAACATACAACAAGCAGCATGGGATAATACGCCACCTATTATGCAGCGAACAACAGGAAATAAGTATCCTAAAGAAATAAGGAAACTAGTCTCTGCAAAAAGAAAACTAAGGAGGAAATGGCATCAGACCAGATAAAACCAAACTTAACAACGCTACCCAACAGTTAAAAAGAGAGATAAAACGAATCAAAAATTATTCTATTTGTGAGCACCTTAGTCAGTTGTCAAACGATAAATCTACTGATTATTCACTATGGAAAGCCACAACGCGATTAAAAAGGCCCACTGTGCAGAATGCTCCAGTCAGGAATACAGATGGTAGCTAGGCTAGAAATAATATACAAAAAGTTAATAGATTCGCAGAACAATAACAAAATACCTTTAAACCAAATGAAGGAGAAGAAATACCGAACTGTGCTTCGCTACAAAGAGATGACTCAATTATCAGACCAACCTCTCCAATGAAAATTGCAGAAGAAAATAAAATAAATATTAATCCCAATAAAGCTTCTGTCTTTGATTTAATTACAGGAGAAATCTTAAAACAACTTCCGAAGAAAGCCATAATTAAACTTACACACCTGTTTAATGCCTCATTCAAGGTATTTTTCTAGATTGTGGAAAGTAGCTGAAGTCATTATGATACCCAGGAAAACCTCCGAATGAAGTTTCGTCATATAGGCCAATATCTCTATTGCCTATAATATCGAAACTATTTGAAAAAAATACTAATAAAAAGACTGAAACCCATCATTGAAGAAAGAAAACTTATTCCAGATTACCATTTCGGCTTTAGAGAAAACCATTCAATTATAGATCAGGTTTATATAATCTCAAGTGCGATTAAAAAAACGTTAGAAAACAAAAAAGTCTGTTCAGATATCTTCCTCGATATTGCGCAGGCTTTTTATAAATAATGGCATGATGGCTTAAAACATAAACTGAATGTGCTACTTCTACAGCCATACTCAGAGCTATTGCATTAATACATTTCAGATAAATTCTTTAGAGTAAAACAAGACGAAGCATACTCTGAACTGAAAGAAATTAAAGCAGGAGTACCACAGGGAAGCGTAGTGG